CCTCTTAACTCGGGGAATTCTTACAAGTTCGGCCGAGCGGAGAAACAGCCGCGCTCCGAGACCTCGAAAGTTTAAGTACCGTCCGTGGCCGGCGCCGACTCATCGCTTGCCCGAGATTATGCAGGCCGGGACCACTGTAATCTATCTCTCTATTATACCTACTGGGGAAGAGGGGAGGATAGAGGGAAGGGGGGAGGATAGAGGGAAGGAGGAAAGGGAGGTGGAGGATGAGGAAAAGGAAGAGGGGAGGATATGGGGAGGGGGAGGATACGTGGAGGGGGAAGGGAGGTGGATGACGAGGAAAGGGTAGAGGGGAGGATAAGGGGAGTGGAGAGGATAAGGGGAGTGGGGAGATAGAGGGAAGGGGGAGGATAGAGGGAAGGGGAGAAAGGGAGGTGGAGGACGAGGAAAGGGAAGGGGGGGGAGGAAGGGGAAAGGGTTGCAGAGGAGAAACGAGGACGGGAACGGGAGGAAGGGAAGATGGAGGAAGGGGAGAAAGAGGGAGAGAGGAAGGAAGGAAGGAAGGAAAAGGAAGGAAGGAAGGAAGGAAGGAAGGAAGGAAGGAAGGAAGGAAGGAAGGAAGACGGAAGGAAGGAAGGGGGATGGAGAAGATAAAGGGGGAGAGAGGGGGGAAGGAAGGAAAGAAAGTGAGGAATGGGAGAGGGAAAAGGAGGAAGATATAAGGAGAAGAGATGGAAAGAGGTAGAAGAAGGGGAAGAGAGGAGGAGTAGGAAAGGGAGAGGGGGGAAGAGGAATAATAATAATAATAAGAGGAGAGGAGAGGAGGGAAGGGAAATGAAGGGAGGGAGGAGGAAGAGAAAAATGAAAGCGGGAGGAAGAGGAGAGAGAGGGCGTTGATACGGAAGGGAAGGAACAAGCGTAGGAAGAGGGAGATAGGGGATGAAAAGAGGAGGCAGAGGAGGAGGAGGAAGGAGAGAATAAGAAGTGAAAGGGCAGGAGAAAAGACGGAATAAGTAGAAGGAGAGGAGGAAAAGGACGAGGAAGGAGAGAATAAGAAGAGAAAGAGGAGGAAGAGACAGAGGAAAGTAGAGGGCGAGGAGGAAAAGGAGGAGGAAGGAGGAAATAAGAGGAGGCAGAGGAAGTGGAAAATAGTGGGAGAGGAGGCAGAGGAAGAGAAGGGAGGGAACAAGAAGAGAACGAGGATGAGGAGACAAAGACGGAACACGGAGAGGGCGAGGAGGAGGGAGGCAAGGGAGAGGGAGACGAGAGGCAGGGAGGAGCGAGGGAATGATTCAGCCTTGATTCACCGCCAAGATTTTCCCGGCGAATGGAAACCTCCTTCCTTGGGCTTCCTTCGCCACGCCGCGCCGATCACGCCCGCTCGGGGATTCAAAGGACCGAGGGAGGGGGGGGGGTCCGGACGGGGAGGGGAGAGGGAGGGGAAGAGGACGGGGGAGGGGGAGGGAGGGGTCCGACGGGAGGGGGAGGGGAGGTCCGACGGGAGGGGAGGTGGGGAGGGGAGGGGGGGTCCGGACGGAGGGAAGGAAGGGAAAGAGGAGGGGGGAATCCGAACGGGAGGGGGAAGAGGGGAAGGAGAGGATGGAGGGAAGGGGAGGGCGGGAGGAGGAAAAAGAAGCAGGATAGGAGGAGGCAGAGGAGGAGAGGAGGGAGGAGGAGGAGGAGGAGGAGGAGGAGAGAGAGATAAGAAGGAGAAGGAAAGAAAGGCGGGAAGCGGAGGGGGGCGATGATAGAGGAAGGAGAATGGGCGAGAATAGAGGAAGGGAGGAAGAGGAAAGGGCGAGAACAACGAAAGGTGGGAAAAGAAGAGAAGACAGCAAGAGAGGAGGAAAAGGGTCAGAAAAGACAGGACAGAGAAGGGGAGAGCGTAAACAAAGGAGGGAAGGGCATAAGGGAGAGGAAGGAGGCGAGAGTGGAGGAAGGAGGAAGGGAAAGGAGAAAGGAGACTAGAAGGAGAGGCAGGGGAAGGGGGAAGGGAGGAAGGGGGGAAGGAGGAAGGGGGAAGGGGATAGGGGGAAGGGGTTTGAAGCCCTATGCGATGGTGTCTTCAAAGCCCGGAATTAATTGGATAGTGGAGTAGTTTCGAGAAGGTCCACGACTGACACAGGAGTCCCTTGATACGTCAACGGGGTGAAGGGGGGGGGGGGGTTGAAGGGGTTATAGGGGGAGGGGCGGTGAGGGTGCTTGGGGCGTGTGTGCGCTCGAAGGCACGTGAATTTTAAGTCGACACTGGTCATTTAGAGTTTATTTCAATGGTGTTTTTTCGTATTTAAAGTTGAGAATAAATATTACCTTTTAATTTCATTTTTTGCTGTGTGATCAGCCTTTTTCATTGCAAACATGAGGCAAGGTTTAATTCGTTACCCTGTATGCTGTCCATGAAATGTCATTAGTTTACGAAAATAGTAACAACCGTAGCAACACTAGCAGTATTCAGTTTAATAGCTTCTATAATAATGATGTTTATAATAATAATGAGAATAATAACAACAATAATAATAATAACAATATTAGTAATGACTAATCATACTATATAACGAATAATAGTAGTAATAATAATAGCAACAACAACAACAATAATAATAATAATAACTAAGATTATATCAACAACAGCAATAATAATAATAATAATAATAATAATAATAATAATAATAATAATAATAATAATAATAATAAAATCAATAACAATAACATCCACAATAAAACAATAACTATAACAAAAACGACAACAGCAATAACAACCACAGCACCAAAATGCCACGACCCGATTCCCTCGCGCCGGGACCAAGACTACCCCAATCAACATTCCTGACCGGCCGTCACTTCCAGACAAGAAAAGAAAAGAAAAAATAACATGAAAAAGAAAACTGTGCCAAAAAAGGAAAAAAAGAAAAGAAAAAGAGAAATCAGAGAAAATGACTCGAAATAAAAAGATTTTCCCTTCACTCTTTCGTAGATAAATAGATTGGCAATGTCATAGCTCTACGACAGACTGATATGTAGATTCTAAATTATTCAATTAAAAGGTAAAGATATTGCAAAAGATTAATATAAAAATACAACATTTCATTGACAATTAGATTACCGATGTCATAGATGTTCGATCGATTCATATATAGATTCTAAATGCAAGTTATTCAATTGAAAGGTAAAAATATCGCAACAGATTAATACTATAAATGCAACACTTCATGAATAAACAGATAGACAATGCCACACACGACGAATTCATAAACAAATTCTCATTAGGAAGTTATTCGACCGACAGGTAAAGATACAGGAATAAAAAGATACCAAAAATGCAACACTTATTTTCATAGATAAATAGACTGCCATTTAATAACTATTTGGCAAGTTCATAAATAATTTTTTTCAATAAGTTATTCAACAGAGAGATAATAGACTGTAAATGTAGCAGTTTTTCCATCGATAATTGAATAATGTAAACTCAACAGTTATTTCGACAATTTTGACAGATAAATAAAGAGGCAACGTAATAAAAATTATATGGATTGGTAAACACAAATGCAATATGTATTCAACGATTAGATAATGCATTGTAAAAGCAGCAGTTATTTAATACAAGAATCAATAATGTAAATGAAACCGTCATTTGACTAATAAATACAATAGAAATGCAAAAAGTATTCGATAACTGAACAAGGCCATGTAAATTCCACACGGTGGTCGGTTAAATATGAAGACTGAACAAAATGTATTTGAAAGACTTTCAGAAATAAATCAACTACAAAAAGAAAAAAAGAAAAACCAATCAACAAACCCACACCTCGGACAGGTAGTCCTAAAAGAAAGAAAAAAAAAAAAGGTAGAGAAAAGAGAGAGAGAGAGAGAAAAAAAGAAAAACGACATTTCGAATTCCAATTTCGTAGTCTGCTTCCTGACCCCCCCATGGGAAACCGTGATAAGGTTGCCAGTGAGTGATTTTCCCTTCCATTTTTTGTGTTGGGCGGGGGGATAGGGGGTTCCTATCTCGTCCTTCAATTGCCCTTTGTCCAAGCCTGATTTATTCCTCCCTGGATCTCTCCCTTTCTCCCTAAGATAACATTATCATTCTCTTCGTTTTCTCCCTCTCCTCTTTTTCTTTTCCTTCTTTCTCTCTCTCTTTTACTTTCCTTAGTCCTTTTCTTATTTCGTCCGTGTCTCTCTCTCTCTCTCTTTCTCTCCTCTTTCCTGAGTAATCA